TATTGTTAGCAAGTGAGTCATTAAATCCAGCCCACACTCTAGGGAAGGGGAATTCAACTTCACCACCTGAATGTGGATTATGATTATTTGTAGTACTACTGTAAGGAAGATTTGACCCTTCTCCACCAATATTTTTCCATTCAGTGGTACTTATCAGTATGTACTCATTTATATTTATTTCATATTTTGGGTAACAGTATTACATTGTGTATTTTATAGCTTAGATTGTCCTAGTTTTGGCCATTAGGAGCTCTTGCAGGTTGGCTCCTATGCTGTTTTGAAACACTCCAATTTGTTTTCTTTAGCACTTACTTTTTGGCATTATAAGATGCTCTAGGCTTGTCTTTTATTTTTCCTGCTGCAGATTTTAGAATCAGGTGTTTCACCAAAGGGCCCCAGTTCCTTTTATTGAATAATGATATTTTATATTTATTTTTTGAGACGGAGTCTCACTGTGTCGCCCAGGCTGGAGTGCAGTGGCGCAGTCTCGGCTCACTGCATCCTCTGCTGCCCGGGTTCAAGAGTTCTCCTGCCTCCGCCTCCCGAGTAGCTGGGATTGCAGGCACCTGCCACTGTGCCTGGCTAATTTTTGGTTTTACTAGAGATGGGATTTCACCATCTTGGCCAGGCTGGTCTTGAACTCCTGACCTCGTGATCCACCAGCCTAGGGCTCCAAAAGTGCTGGGATTACAGGCATAAGCCACTGTGCCAGCCGAATAATGATATTTTAGAAACCAAGATCTCTGAGGGACCTGGGTTTTTGGGCTCCAGCCTTTTTTCCCCCCAGTCAGCTTTATTGTGATTTTAATGCATGTATCATACAATTCACCCATTTATTAAAGTATATAGTTTAGTGATTTCTAGCATATTCACAAAGTTGTGTAACCATCACCAAAATCAATTTTAGAATACATTTTGTCATCTGAAAAAGAAACCCTGGGCTGAGGATAGTGGCTGATACCTGTAATCCTAGCACTTTGGGAGTCTGAGGCGGGTGGGTCACCTGAGGTCAGGAGTTTGAGACCAGCCTGGCCAACATGTCGAAACCCTGTCTCTACTAAAAATACAAAATTAGCCAGAAGTGGTGGCACATGCCTGTAATCCCAGCTACTCAGGAGGCTGAGGCAGGAGAATCGCTTGAACCCAGGAGGTGGAAGTTACAGTGAGCCGAGATCACGCCACTGCACTTCACCCTGGGCAACAGAGCAAGACTCTGTCTCAAAAAATAATAATAATAATTTTAATTGTGTCCCATTTCTTTTTACTTTTGTTCATTGTGTTTTTGGTGTCACATCTACAAAACTTAGTGAATGCAAGGTCATGAAGATTTACACCTATGTTTTCTTTTAAGAATTTTATAGTTTCTCTCTTAGTCCTCCAATTCAATTCATTGTTGACGCTATCTGGAGATAGCATCAGATTCTATACGTTAAGGACTCAGTCCCACAAGAAAGACTGCCTCCATTTCGGATGCCTATGGCAGACCGATACTCCTGATGAAGGGGATTTCCACTACTCCCCTTAAAAGAATAAGGTCAGTAAGGCCGGGTGTGGTGGCTCACGTCTGTAATCCCAGCACTTTGGGAGGCCGAGGCAGGCAGATCACAAGGTCAAGAGATCGACACCAGCCTGGCCAACATGATGAGACCCCGTCTCTACTAAAAACTACAAAAAATTAGCTGGGCATGGTGGCATGCCCCTGTAGTCCCAGCTACCCAGGAGGCTGAGGCAGGAGGATTGCTTGAACCTGGGAGGTGGAGGTTGCAGTGAGCCGAGATCGCGCCACCGCATTCCATCTTGGTGACAGAGCAAGACTCTGTCTCAAAAAATAAATAAATAAATAAATAAAAATAAGGTCAATAAATTGACCTATCTTTAAATTCCCTATTTCTTCTACTTGCTCAAATCTGTTGCTCAGCACTTTTTTTTTTTTTTTTTTAGTTTCAGTTTTTATACTTTTTAAATTTAGTCATGAAAAGGAATGAACAGGCCAGGTGTGATGGCTCACACCTGTAAATCCCAGCACTTTGGGAGGCTGAGGCATGGGGATTGCTTGAGCTCAGGAGTTTAAGACCCAGCCTGGGCAACATGCTGAAACCTCCAGCCCCACAAAAAAATTAGCTGGGCATGGTGGTGCATGCTTGTAGTCCCATCTACTCAGGAGGCTGAGGTGGGTGAATCACTTGAGCCCAGAAAGTCAAGGTTGCAGTGAGCTGTAACCCAGTGCACTCTGTCTAACCTGGGTGGTAGAGCAAGACCCTGTCTCAAAGAATCAACAGTTTTTGTACTTAACAACTTAAGAATCTATCTCTCTCTCTCTTTTCCCCCTCCCACCCCCATCCCCTGTCTTTTCTTTTCTTTTCTTTCTTTTCTTTTCTTTTCTTTTTATTTTTTTTTGAGACAGGGTCTTCCTCTGTAGCCCAGCCCTGAGTGCAGTGGTATGATCATAGCCCACTGCAGCCCCAACCTCCTGGGCTCAAGTGATCCTCCCACCTTGGCCTCTTATGTAGCTGGGACCACAGATTCACCACTGTACCCGACTGATTTTTAAATTTTTTTGTAGAGATAGGGTCTCGCCACCTTGCCTAGGCTTGTCTGAAATTCTGGGCTCAAGGGATCCACCTGCCTCAGCCTTCCAAAGTGTTGGGATTATAGGCATGAGCCACCACTTTATGTGGATTTTTAAAAATAATTTATCTCATTATTGATATTCAGTATTTATGGGTGAGATACCATTCTCATGCTTTCCTTTAAGTTATTTAGCCATGATTTTCTTTAGTCCTTTGAAATGTTTAAAGGTTTAAAGATAAGCTTATTTAGTCTTTGCCTAGTAACTTTAATACTTAGGTTTCCAGTTTCTATTGATTCTTTTTTTTCTCCTGTTGTATGGACCATACTTTTGTTTTACTTCATACCTTGTAATATTTTACTGAAAACTAGAAATTTAAATAATATACAGTGACACCTGCAGAAATCCAGTTCTCCTCTTCCCCAGGGTTTTTGTTGTTACCATTGCTGCTGCTGTTGTAATTACTGTTGGCTTGCTTAGTGACTTATCTTACTTAATTATATAATGTCGATATTATTTGTTATGTGTGGCCAGTGAATTCTCCACTCAGCTTAGTGGTCAGGTAATGATTGAACAGAGATTTCCTTGATTTTCTAGAACCAGTTAGTCACTTGGAATTTGTGGAGAGGCTCTGCGCATGTGTCATTGCATGCCTTCAACTAAATTCAGACAGGCAGTTGCAAACTCTTTACTTTCTGGTTGCATACATTCTCAAGTTAAGCCAGAGGTATAAAGTTAGGACCTTCTTAGGGCTTTCCTGAGCATGCACATAGCACTGGGCATGTGCATAGCCCTAAACATTGTCGTGGTCTTATAGACTCACAATAATTTGTCAGAGCTTTTCAGAACCATAATGGACAACTCTTAGCCCAGCCCAGCTTTTCCTTTAAGTTTTTTGGGTAGTCTGTTTTGTATTTTCCACTGCCTTAGGTACCTTTAAGGTTAAATAGTTGCCTGCCATTGTTTTCAACAAAGCTGCCAGGGAAAACATTTTCACATTGGCCAAGCTCCAAATCCGATCACATGTAGACAGCCTTGCAAGTGGAGTTTTCTAGGGAACCACTAGAAAGGTCAGCTAATGACAGTTCTCTGGGAGTAAGGCTTTGGCAAAATGCCAGGCCATTCTGTCCTCTCCAGGGCCTGTCAGCTTCCTTGGTTTTTACTTTGAATGTGTTTTAAGGCTGCTGCACAGCTAGAGTATAGGAGATTGGATTAGGTTAAGTTAAAACCACATAGCTTGATGTTCTTACTGAATGTCAGCCATTTTCTTTAAATATCTACTCCTTGAATTGTTGCAAGCCTCTGGTTATTTTCTGGAATTCTGAAAATGTTGATGCTTACAATTTTTGGCAATTTGCCCATTGCTTTTATGGAAGAGAGAACTTGTCAGGTTTTCTGGATTTCTTCATACTTAAAATATGGGGATACTGCAAAGGACATTCACTGCAGCAGGATTTATAACAGCAAAGGTGTGAGAAACAACCCAAATGCCCAAAATAAGGAAATAGTTTTATAAAATGGTTCATCTAGGTATACATTTGATGGAGTATAATGCAGATACTATCAGTCACCCATGTAGAGAGAATATTTCATGATGTAAAAAAAATGTTTACAATGTGATATAGATGAAAAAAGCAGAATACAAAATACAGTATGTTGAAGTTTTTAAAAATAAGTTTTGTAAGGGAAATCAGCAGTGTCAGCATTTATTATTTCTGGGTGATAGAATGACAGTTAAATTATGTGAGTAAAAAGAAAAATACTGTTGTTCCATATTGTGTACCCTAAAATGAGATTATTTTGTTATAAAAATAAAATGTATTTGTAGAGTATTGTTTTTTACTCGTGAGCTAAGTTAAAATTGTATTTATGTATGTGTATGTGAGTGAGTGTGTGAGTTTTGGTGACTTAAAATAGCCTTTTATAGGGGCCGGGCGCGGTGGCTCACGCCTGTAATCCAGGCACTTTGGGAGGCTGAGGCAGGTAGATCACGAGGTCAAGAGATTGAGACCATCTTGGCCAACATGGTGAAACCCGTCTCTACTAAAAGTGCAAAAAATAGCTGGGCGTGGTGGCATGCACCTGTAATCCCAGCTACTCAGGAGGCTGAGGTGGGAGAATCGCTTGAACCTGGGAGGCAGAGGTTGCAGTGAGCTGAGGTCACGTCACTGCACTCCAGCCTGGTGACAGAGTGAGACTCCGTCTGGGGGAAAAAAAAAAAGATAACCTTTTATAAATGTTTGAAGGGGTGCTGTAAGAACATACTAATGACCCTGGCGCTGGGGATAACAAAGTATGTCTGAGCTACTTTAATCTCAAGAGTTTACCCTGTGAAAGGAGCTTTGTTTCTGTGGGTGTAGTAGGGTGAATTATTAGGCAGATGAATAAGTTATAGTCTCATTTATCAGCATTTCATTTTTTTTCTTTTCAGGCGCATATTAAATTTCCTATTGACTACCCCTATTCACCACCTACCTTCAGATTCTTGACCAAAATGTGGCACCCCAACATTTATGAGGTAAGAGACATCCATCATAAATTTCTCTGAAGTTTTTTTTTTTTTTTTAGTGAGTACTTTAAAATAGCTTGTCTGTCTCAGCACACTTTGATAGTTAGGCTGTTGTAGCCATAGAGAAATACTAATGATTTTGCACTTCAGTTAACAGTTTCTGGATTAATTATTTAACATTAGTGTAGTTTTAAAATACCTTGTGTATATTCCAGTTAAGGATTTGGACTTTAGACTTTTGCTGCTCAGTGCTAGAGTTATAATACACATGTGTTTAACACATGCATTTAAAAAAGTTAGTAGATAATGTCCTATAAATTTATTTGTGTGCCTATCCTCTAACTTCACAGCAAGGGTCACCTGTTCCTATGATGAAAGATTCAGCTTTTGGTGGGGGGAGCGGGATTTATCCCATTACGTTTGGACTGGCCTCATTTTAGGAGTTGCTGCTGAACATTTGAGAGCCTCTTTTAGAATAAATTCAAGGTGAGGTTCTTCTGCTAGACAAGCGCACATGCCTGGGGAAAGCATTTCTAGCTTTCGTTGATGAAACGTACTTAGCTTTGGGCTAATCCATAAGGATACTAGAATAATGCATTCTGTTTCTCAGGATGATAATATCAGGGCCCATTAGTTTTTTTCTTTTGAGGCTACTCTTTACTATTCTAGAAGTGTGTGTATGTTTTGTTTGTTTGTTTATTTGTTTTTGAGACAATCTCGCTCTGTAGCCCAGGCTGGAGTGCAGTGGCGCAGTCTTGCTCCCTGCTACCTCTGCCTCCTGCCTCCCGGTTCAAGCAGTTCTCCTGCTTCAGCCTCCCAAGTAGCTGGGATTACAGGCACATGCCACCATGCCCAGCTCATTTTTGTATTTTTAGTAGAGATGGGGTTTCACCATGTTGGCCAAGCTGGTCTTGAACTCCTGACCTCGGGATCCACCCACCTCGGCCTCCCAAAGTTCTGGGATTAAGGCGTGAGCCACTGTGTCTGGCCTACTATTCTGTAAGTGTGTTTTTAAATCTCCAAATGTTTTGGGAATTTTGCAGGTATCTTTCTGTTGGGAACTTCCAGTTAAATTCCACTGTGATCTGAAAGCAGACATTGTATGATTTCTATTTTTAAAAATTTGTCAAGATGTAGTATATCTTCATGCAAGTTTCATGTGAGCTCAAGAACAATGTGTAATCTGCAGTTACGGGTGTAGTAGTCTATAATGCTCATTATATACACTTGACGAATGGTGTTGCTGAGTTCAGCTGTGTCTTTACTTATTTTCTGCCTGCCAGCTCTGTCCATTTCTAGATGGCTTGAGGTGGCTGGAGTTGGGCTTTACACTTCTTCCAGGTCATATAGGCTGTGATAAAACTTGGGCAGGTTTGTAGTTAAGTAATTTCTCCTGAGGACAGACCTTGTTAAAAAGAGCAGAAGATTCTGACTTTTTTTTTTTTTTGAGACCGAGTCTTGCTCTGTCTCCCAGGCTGTAGTGCGGTGGTGCAATCTTGGCTCACTGCAACCTCTGCCTCCTGGGTTCAAGCAATTCTCATGCCTCAGCCTCCTGAGTAGCTGGGAGGCTGGCTAATTTTTGTGTTTTTAGTAGAGATGAGGTTTTGATGTGTTGGCCAGGCTGATCTCAAACTCCTGACCTCAAGTGGTCTGCCTGCCTCAACCTCCTAAAGTTCTGGGATTACAGGTGTGAGCCACTGCATCCAGCCCTGACTTACTTCAAAGTGGTTTCTTTTCCCCTCCTGCTGCCAGAACACAAGGGGTTGTTTGACCTATAGTCACTGTGAAAACCTGGTAGAACTCTAGGAGGTAACACTCAAAAAAATACAGGGGTGCCCACTAACTAAAGGGGCTGGAGTTTTTTACTCTGAGGTTTGTCTGTACTGGGCCTCTAGCATTTTGTCAATTATATAGTTCAGGGTTTTGTACACCAGGACTGATGGAATTTTCTCCTCCTGAGTTTCTGCTCTGATAAGTTGTGATTCTCTGTATCTGCCAGTCTCAAACTCCTCACCTCAACCTCCCAAAGTGCTGAGATTACAGGCGTGAGCCACCGCACTCGGCCTGTCACTTCTTTAAAAACAAAACATTTGTGTTTGAAAAATATCTACACATTTATGGGATATGCATGCATTTTATTGTAGAAAAATTCATTATGAATATGGGGAAAAATTGTATATCATGATCTAATGGTAAATCTTGAAAGAACTAAATAGCCTATGTACTGAAAAAAAAAGTGGAAAGGGGAGTGTAATTACCTACCTACACTTTGTTCCTGTCAACGACTCCTTTATCCTATTTTTTTTTTTTGTTTCTTTTTTGAGAGATGTTTGGGAATTAGGTAACTGAGATGGTAACAGTATGTATATGGCTTTAAGAGTAATTAACTCCCTGCTGGGTGTGGTGGCTCACGCCTGTAATCCCAGCACTTTGAGAGGCTGAGGTAGGAGGATCACGATCAGGAGTTCCAGACCAGCCTGGCCAATATGGTGAAACCCCGTCTTTACTAAAAATACAAAACTTAGCCGGGCGTGGTGGTGCGCGCCTGTAGTGCCAGCTACTCAGGAGGCTTGGGCAGAAAAATCGCTTGAAGGGAGGTGGAGGTTGCAGTGAGCCAAGATCACGCCAACACACTCCAGCCTGGGTGGCAGAGCGAGACTCCATCTCAAAAAAACAAAAACAAAAACAAAAGTAGTTAGCTCTCAATTGCAAGACAAAAGCTTGGTCCTTCTCACTTCTCTCTTGCTATCTAATATCTATATATACACTACATAATTGTAAAGGCAAAAACCTTTAATTATTAGACAGGGACATTGTTATGGTCTGGATTTTGGTGTCACCCATGAATGGTATTAGCATCCTCATGAAAGAGGCAAGAGAGAACTGCCTTGCCTCTTCTCCCATAAGGATGCAACAAAACAGGCGCCATCTGTGAAAAACAAGCCCTCAACAGACCAAATGTGCTGGTGGCTTGGTCTTGGACTTCGCAGTCTCCAGAATTGTGAGCAATAAATTTCTGTTGTTAGTATATTACCCAGTCTAAGTTATTTTGCTGTAGCAACCCAAATGTACTAAGACAGATATCAAAATACTTCTGTGCATACTGAACTCAGTTTGAACTTAGGAAACAATGAATTATTTCTACAGACTCTTTCCTACAAAAGGAAGATAATGTTGTTACACAGAACAGTGTATTCACTGTTGTTTATTTATATTGTGTCAAATATTAAACAATATTTAGAAAGCTTATTTCTAAAAAGAAAACTATATATCATTTCGTACCAGTCTGTTCTGTCTGAAAAAGAAAAATTAAGATGTCTTACATAAAAAACAGACTGTGGAAAATGACACAGCTGCCCCAGTGTGCTCATATATATGGAATTGAACTCCAAATTCCAGACCCTAGAGTGGGTTCTCCATTTCTTGCCTAAAAGCAAAGGTGGCCGGGAATGGTGGCTCACCCTGTAATCCCAGCACTTTGGGAGGCCAAGGCAGGTGGATCACTTGGGGTCAGAAGTTCGAGGCCAGTCTGGCCAACATGGTGAAACACTGTCACTACTAAAAATACAAAAATTAGCCGGGTGTGGTGGTGCACACCTCTAGTCCCAGCTACCCAGGAAGCTGAGACAGGAGAATCGCTTGAAGCCAAGAGGTGGAGGTTTCAGTTAGCCAAAATTGCACCACTGCACTCCAGCCTGGGTGACACAGATTCCGTCTCAAAATAACAAATAAATAAATAAAATAAAAGCAATTTAAAGGTGATGTTAGCTCACTTTCTGGAGCAAAGGTACTTCTAACAGCCACAGGGCCAAAAAAAAAAGAACTGATGCATGACTAAGATGGCAAGAATCTAAAGCAATTTCAATGCTTGGGATGCTGCTATGAAAAAATGAGACCACTGCAAAACCATATTGCAACGAAAAAGATTACAGAATGGTTTTTTTGTTTTTTGGTTTTTAGTTTTTTTTTTTTGAGACGCAGTAGTGCGATGGCATGATCTTGGCTCACTGCAACTTCCACCTCCCAGGTTCAAGCGATTCTCCTGCCTGAGCCTTCTAAGTAACTGGGATTACAGGCATGTGCCACCACACCTGGCTAATTTTATATTTTTAGTAGAGAGGGGCGTTTCACCACATTGGCCAGGCTGGTCTCAAATTCCTGACCTCAGGTAATCCACCTGCCTCAGCCTCCCAAAGTGTTGGGATTGATAAAATTATATAGCCTGGTCAACATGGTGAAATCTCATCTCTGCTAAAAATACAAACATCAGCTGGGTGTGGTCACGTGCCTGTAATCCCAGCTACTCAGCAGGATGAGGCAGGAGAATCGGCTTGAACCTGGGAGGTGGAGGTTGCAGTGAGCTGAGATGGAGCTAAGACCAGGCTCAGTGGCTCATATGCCTGTGATTAATCCCAGCACTTTGTGAGGCCGAGGTAGGCGGATCACGAGGTCAGGAGTTTGAGACCAGCCTGGCCAACATGGTAGAACTCTGTCTCTACTAAAAATACAAAAATTAACCAGGTGTGGTGACGGGTGCCTGTAATCCCAGCTACTCAGGAGGCTGAGGCAAGAGAATTGCTTGAACCCAGTAGGCGGAAGTTGCAGTGCCACTGCACTCCAGCCTGAACAACAGAGCAAGACTCCGTCTTGTGGGGAGGGTGGGGGTAGGGGAAGAAATGATAAATCATATTTAGGAAGTAAATTTGATGTTGTCAAAGGAATCACAAAAAACTGTCACGTAACTATTAACCTTCACCGCAGTATGGAAATGGTATCAGAATTGAAATTTTTGAGGGCCAGTGTTGGTATTTGTGGTAATAGAGATCTAGAGACCCCATCTGGCTGAAAATAGTTTCTTATGTCATGTTTTTTTTGTTGTTGTTGTTGTTTTGAGATGGAGTCTTGCTCTGTCACCCAGGCTAGAGTGCAACGGCGCGATCTTGGCTCACTGCAACCCCCGCCTCCCGGGTTCAGGCGATTCTTCTGCCTCAGCCTTCTGAGTAGCTGGG